GCTTGTGCGGGCCCCTCGGCTCCAGCTCATTTCCAGATTCTACCACGCAGAGCAGTGCAATTTTGTTCATTATCCCATTGGGAGCGTTCCAGGAGCACCTGCGCTTCCACCAGACTTACCAGGTGACGGCCCACCGAGGCCGCCAGCTTTGGACGATGGCGACGCAGAGGGCCCTGATGGGCCAGACGGGGAAGATGGAGACCATGACGACGATGACGGCCCAGCTGGCGGCGGTGGAGGCGCCCCCCTTGGCGTCGGATTCCAGCGCGATTCTGAAGAGGTTACGTTGATGCGCCAATATCTTCAACATGCTTTGCAACCAATGGAATACATATCAGTGCCGAACAATCGCGTCGGGTTAGATGAGCCTGAGTTGTTCGTGTTCCAACTGCTGAGCATAGAGAGCCGCGCCATCCTGGTGCCGACCTTCCTGGACAAGGTAACGGAGAAGTGCCTCGTCAGCTCCACCGTCCAGCCGATGGAGTTGTGGAGGGACTTCGGGCGTCTCAAATGTATGGACATTTTGGCCAGGGGACGTAGCCAGATTCGATTGTTTACGCATTCCGCCTCCCATCACATATATCCTGAGCTTTTGCCAGCGAGTTGCTCTGATTCCTCGGGGGTGCGATGATGGGGGCAAGGGTCAGCGAGGAGGGCAAGGCCCTGCATGAGGGAGGGGTCAGCTGCAGGGCGTGGGTAGCCAAGTACAATCGTTTCGCTGAGTGGGCCCCGCACGGGGCCGTCTGAACCCCCTCCCTGCCAGCCTCGAGCGGCCTCGCTGGGGCCAATGGGAAAATCAAGTATGGCCCTGGGATCCTGAAAGGAGGGGTGATTGCGCAGCTTCGGCAACACCTCCACAGGACCGCAGTCGCGGCGATGACCATCGGCATCTCGACTTGTACCAGTTAGAGGATCCAGAGACGATCGATATCATCTCTCTTGTTGGCGTGGATCCCGCTCGCCTAGATCGCATCCTGACGTGGCGAGTGTCCGAGTCTGACACTGAAGGGTGCCTGAGTCTGGAGTCGCCGCAAGTCGCGACGCCGACGCTTCCTCTCAGCAACAAGAGCGCGCCCGTCCTTTGCCTCGTGAATGCGCTTGAGGACGACGGGTTCGCAGCCGTCCGTCGAATCGTTCAGCGCGAGCCTGGTGATCCAGTGCGCGTCTTTGATGCGAGGAAGCTCGCCAGCCAGCGGGCGTACCTGCAGTGCGTCTTAGCCAGGGACTTCATCCATGGCAAGGGCGTGACGTTTTCGTCTGGGAAGACGTTTCAGTTTTACCGTCTGTTGTTGAGGGAGCCCGCCGCTGCTGACGCGTCTTTGTCAGCCAAAGCGCTCAAGAGGAAGTGCCAGGAGCTCACTGGCGATGCTGTGCCCATTGGGGCGCTGGATCGGCGACCGATGCCGCGGCTTGCCCTACCGCCAGCTGGGTTACCAGCACCAGCACTCGAGGATGACGGCATTTGTGGAGATGATGGCGCTGTCCCAGATGACGCGGCCCCTCTTCCTGCTCCTGTTGCCGACTTCCCTGAGGCAATCGCGGATGCGCCTCCGCCGCCTGCTGGACCAGAGAGTTCCAACCATCCCAGCAGTCCCAGTTCCGTCGCAGGTTCACGGGTACGTCTCAAACATTTCAGAGGGAATGTCATATGTATATCGTTTGAGCCTTTCCGCGTTTGGAGGAGGGGAAGGAGGATAAGGAAGAGGACCGTGCACAATGCAGGATGGGAATGATGGATGGCTAAATGAGGGCGAGCTGACATTACGGAGCGATGCGGTGAAACTGAAGCCACTATCATTAACACACCCTGGGGGAGATAAGGGATGAGGGGCGCGCGGGTGGACGAGGTGAAGTGACATTTTTCCCAGGGTTGATATGACATGCAGCCTCAGGATTGTTTGGCATCCCCGCCGGCCCATCCAGATACGATGCGCAGCGACAAACTTAGGACCATATCGCTCTACCAGCAGGTGGAACGCCTTATCTATCTTGTTCTGATCATCGCGGTGGCTCCTAGATGCACCCTGGTATTTCGTCCAAATCTTACTGGCGATACGTGTAGCTCAATATGTTTCAGCTGGCGCCCGACTGAAGGGCACCTTCCCCAGGTGACGACGCTGGAGGGGACGAGGCGCCAGCGCCGCCACTCCCGCCACTCCCCGACATCGGCGAGCTCAAACAAGAGAACCATTATAGGAAGGGCAAGGTGTACACGGGCTGGCGGGTCACTTGTACGATCCACGAGGGTTGCAACAGGTTTCGATCCGATGCATTGTGGCTGGACGAGTTTGGAGTTCGCAACTATTATTACTACTTGGGTTGTTGGCTCCGACGCGGTGGCGAGTGCACCCGCGACGAGCATAGGGCTTACTACCCAACGCTTGCGGATGTGCGTGCCGACAGAGACAGTTTGTGAACAGTGGGAAATGAAAATCTCTCGAGGACGATGGGGTCCTAAGCTCCCCCCGTGTTTCCAAGACTCGCCCTCGCCTCATGGGGGGCCTCGTAGCGCGTCGTCTCTCATGGTCGTGTCGTCTTCGTCGCCCTCTCCCTTGGCTCCCCCACTCGTGCGCTCTCAGCGTCGTCATCCTCCTCCTTCTCATCCCAAACCTCCCCCTGCTCCACTCTTTCTCCGCTCGGTAGATGACGCCCCCTCGCTCCGCGGAAGGTCCCAGTGGAGGGTTGCAGTTTCATGAGCTGGCCAGTGGACCCCTACCCTTTCTTGGTTTTTCTCGATGAAGAGGGAGGGGGCTGATCCGCGTGTACGGCTGATCCCTCTAGGCGCATCGCATGTGTACACAGGGCCTTGAGGAGCTGTTATTGGCCTCGAGGCGTTCTTCCGTTCTTGCTGACTGGAGGTGGGGCTGCGAGTCTCAGCCGTGAGACGCGATCACTCACTGACTTGTTGCCGCCGCCCTTGGGATCCTCCTAAGGCCCCAAAGCGCCTCAGAGGCCCCCCCTAAGAGCAAACAAAAACCTTTTCACATGACCTCAAACCGATTCCCAAGAGGCCAACCGAGACCGTGCCAATACCACGCCAAACCGTGTCAATACCACACAAAACCGTGTCAATACCACACCAAGAATTGTCAATACCACACAAAACCGTGTCAATACCACACCAAGAATTGTCAATACCACACAAAACCGTGTCAATACCGCACCAAGAATTGTCAATACCACACAAAACCGTGTCAATACCACACCAAGAATTGTCAATACCACACAAAACCGTGTCAATACCACACAAAACCGTGTCAATACCACAAAGCGAAATCCAACAACACTGACGCTCAAGAAACCTTCTAAGGAACGACCTTTGAGAGGTCGCATGGTCAAGCTTGGTTTTCGGATTTGGTTCGCGAGTGAGTGCCACACAGGCCGTTCCCCTGGGGCAGCTAGAGCTTTGCGTCGGCCCCCGAAGGCCGAAAACATGAAGCGCATTGCCAGACCGCTCCGTAGGTCAGAGCTCAAACAAGCCGCCCCCCCTGCCGGCCTCGGCGCGTAGGGCCCCGATGCCGCCCAAGAACGCCAAGTGGGTTTCAAAGCTAAAGAAACCAGCAACACGCCGTGTGAGGAAGATGCCTAAGATGTTGAAGCTGGCCCGCATGGCCAACGTGATGCTGGTGAGGAGGATTCGCGCCTTGAGGACTCAGATGCAGAATATTGCTGATGTCCCTCGGGCGAGCGGCAGTGCTAGGAACGGCGTATCCGTTCTGGCATTCTCGATGTGCTATGCTATGCTATGCTATGCTATGCGATGAAAGCAGCCTCGTCCCCCATGAGGGGCAGATCCTCTTTCACCTCGGGGGGGCAAGCAGCACAGCACAGCACGCATTGGGGCCCTTGGGGACGGCAAGGCTTCGAGCCTCATGACCAGTCACTCTCGGACGTGCTCAGCTCCTCAACATTCTGAAGTTTCTCGGTCGTCGCGCCGTCCTCCCGCGCTCTGTCGTTGTCCTTGAGCCCAGCAGCATTCGGAGAATGCGGCTTCTCGTGCTAGGCCGCCCGAGGGCGATGAAAGAACAAGCGCGCGCCCAGGCGCGCACCGTATTTCCCAATTCCAGATTTGTTTGAACAAGCCTCCTCCTCTTGCTCCTCCTCCTCCTCCTCCTTCCTCCTCTCCTCCTTCCCCCTCTCCTTCTCCTCCTCCTCCTCCTCCCTTTCCTCCCCCTCCTCTCCCCCCTTCCTCCTCCTCCTCCCTCTCCTCCTCCTCCTCCTGCCAGATTCAGCCTAGCATGTATCCTCCTCCACTTCCTCATCCTTGTCCTCCTCTTCCCCCTCCTCCTCCTCCGCTGCATCCTATGCATGCTCTTGATGCAGTGTTTTCTACAAGTGAACTCATCGAAACCAGCATTGCTTCTAGGGTGCGCTTCGTGCTTCCAGTTTGGGAATGTGGTGTTGGCATATTTCCATCCCCCCCCCTCTCTCTCCTACACCCACCCCCTCCCCCCTCCTCCCTCGCTCCAACGGGGGCCATCAACTCCTCTAGAGCCCACGCGTCTCTGAGTAGGAGTGCCAGGAGGAGTAGGTTGTAGGAATCGGCATGGGAGTAGAAGTAGGAGCACGTGTATGAGTAGGGTTAGAAGGATGAGGAGGAGGAGCAGGCGAAGGGAGGAAGAGGGGGATGATGATAGGAACAGTAGGATGAGGAGGAGGAGAGGAGGAAAGGAGGACAGGAGGTGGAGGAGCACGAGGAGTTGTTTTACTGAGGTTACTCCTGGCGCGTAGGCAAAGTGCACACGACGGTTTCCGAGGCTCCAGTAGAAGCACCCGAAGCGATTGACCCTAGTTGAGCCCATTTTTTCTTTGATCAAACTTCGGGGTTGGGTCAACAGTGGGTTCAAGGATGCTTGCTGCACTGTCCTCGGTCTTCTCGGTCTCGGGGCCCCCATGGCATCGCCACGACTATCCGCCTCCTCAGCCTTTTTGAAGCCGAGAGTCGCTGCCCTTTCTTTTGTTCTGGCCTTCAGCTGGCCTCGATCACGCGCCCAGAAGAGATGGCCCGCAGTGATGATGAGATGGGCGCCCCGTCGGAGGCCCGCGCGCCCACAGAGGCACGACGCAAGATTGCGTCGAAGAGGCCGTCCCCAGGGCCTCCAGGGCCGCCAGGGTCATCTTCGGGCATCGAGTTTATCGTCTGCTTCTTGTGCCAGGAGGGCGGCACCCTCTCCGAGAGCTGGTTTGGCAAGCCGCTGCGCCGCCAATGCAAGCTCGCCGTGCGCTCCCGCAGGCGCGCCGTCATGGGCTCTGCTGCGGCTCTGAGCGACCAGGCCGACATGCACCGTGATCCCGAGAAATGGCGCGCCACGCACTTGCCCTACTTGGAAAAGGACACGCGCAGGGCCGCCATCCAGGAGCTCAAGACGAGCCAGAAGCAGGAGGAGTCCAACATGTCAGCCGAGAAAGATTTCAACGGGTGCGAAGACGTCTGGCTCACCAAGGTTCGCTTCCGTGCCTTCATGGGATTCTGGGAAGGCCTGTCCAGGGAGGAGGCCGACGAGCGCTTCGACGCCGAGTTCGACGCGAACCCGAAGTACAACAGGAGGAACCAACAGATCGTCCTCGCTGAGGGCAACGAGTACGTCAAGCACGAGGCGGGCACCGAGTCGAAGCGCGGGGTCGTGCAGACCACCCCGATCGGCGATGACGACGACGACGAGGACTATGAGGACGGCGTGGCCGATGCTCCCCGTGCTGCGAGTTCGGCGGCGAGCAGCTCTGGAGTCGAAGTGCTGCGCACTCCTGCTCACAGTCGCGGCGGCTGCCGCCGCGTGGTCGCCAAGGCCACCCCCGAGACGCTTCCCCAGCCAGCCCGCAAGAAGCTCAGGGCCACTGAGTCTCCAGAGACGCTCGGCCCCCACGCGAAGCACCTGCACGCCAAGAAGGCGCTCCAGGATGCGGTGAAGGAGATCGTGAAGGGCTTCGAGGGTAAGGCCACCACGCACGCGCGCTTGACGAAGCTGGCAGAGAGGCACAAGGGCTACGCCGACTTGCCCGAGAACTTGAAGGCTGCGGTGGAGAAGTTCGCGAGCATCCAGAAGCAAGCGAAGCAGCTTGGCTTGAAAGCTGAGCGGGCTGGGTCCACTGGAGATGGCTCGGTTGCGTCGTGCACTACGGAGCTGGATTCCATGAAGGTGGAGTTGACATCTTGCTGGGCGGACGCCGCGGAGCTCGTTCAGTCCTTGGAGTTGATCGACAAGGAAATGCAGACCACCAAGCGGAAGACCTACTTGCAGGACCGCCACCAGTCTCAGAAGGTGCGGGTCTAGCAACAGCGGCCACTTGTTGACCCTAGTTGTAGGAACCCTGGGACCTTTGAGACGTCTGAGACGCAACGAAACTGGAGGTCGATTGAGGAGGGCGGGGCTGGAGGAGGATTGAGGAGGGGACGGACTGGAAGGGAAGGCATCTGGTGGAGAGAGGATGTGATGAGCTGTTTTTTTTGGGGCGATCTTGAAGCTTGCTGGCACTCTGAACGCGTCTGGCGCGTTCGACTCGCAGCTGGCAAAGCACGTCGCCCCCTTGATCGCGCAGACCTGGGCGAAAGCTCAGGCGACCATGGTTGCTGACGAGGAGGGTGATTACAGCGCCTACTGCTTGCAGCCCGTCTCCAGCTGCGGGATCACCATGGACGCGACCATGAACGAGTTCAATCCCACAAAGCTTTTCGCTTGGAAGACTCCGTTCCCCTCCTTCCAAGAGATGCTGGTTGACATTCGCGGCCGCATCGATGGGCGCTGCAACAGGCTGAACGAAAAGATGGCAGCGAACCGTGATACTTGGTTGGGGGCTCAAGCGAACGTGGATTCCGAAAACGAGTACGGTGAGCACCTGAAGTGTCTTCCCGGCCTGGGGCTCCACCTGTGTTGCATCGTTCGCAATGCGTTGCGCTTGGGCGCGATGGCCGTGCCGTTTCCAGCTTTAGGTTACTTCATGTCCCCCTTGAATGAGAGCATGTTCGTGTTGGTGTACGACGTTGCCGAGATCATCAATCAGGGGATTGTCTTGAAGGACATCCAGACCTTCTTGAAGAGCTCCTCTGGCGAGGGCTTCCTGAAGTCCAAGCATGCCGTTTGCGTGTACCTTCCGAAGAATGCAGTCCTTTTCGTGCCCAGCGGTTTCTATGCGCAGCCACTCTTCTACCGTCCAGGCCCCAGGAATCAGAAGATCGATCCTAATTGGCTTCACTACCTGCACGTCCCTTTTTTGAACGCGGAGATCGCCGAGACCGTGGATCCAGATGTGTTCAAGGCGGCCACCGCGTTGTCTACTGTGCATTTGGCCCCGCTGCAAAGCTCGATGTGGGTTGAGCGCAGGAAGGGTTTCTCAGATTTTGTTCAGCAGGTCCTTCAGTAGGCCTCACGGGCTCCAGATGACTCCTCGAGTGGTCGAGGACTGGGGTCGCCGCAGAATAGCATAGGTAGTCGACGAGGCGTACTGTGGCTTTGGGGGGAGGTTCGAGGGGAGGAGAAGGAGAGGATGAGGAGGATGAGGAAGGGATGAGGAGCTTGACAGCATGACCCAATGTTTTAGCACAACCGCACGCACCCCCAAACCCAACCCAGAAATATTCCAGATGCCCCATCCTCAACGCAAACATCGCACACCGTGGGCCCCGTGAGGAGCATTCCCCAAACAGTCGTATGCCTAAGGTCCGAGTCCCTAAGGGTTTGAGCTCCAGAGTCCCAGCCTAGGACGCCCGATTGCGATGTAGGGTATCTGCGGTTGACCTCGATCACGAGGATCGCATCTTAAAGCAGGGCTCGAAGCCCTGAGACTTTGAGTCGCCCTGGGAGCGTGTGAAGTAAGATTGGCCGCGCCCTCTTCCCACGCACATGTATAATTTCTTCCAGCGCGATTCACGGTGAACTCGCGTAGCATCCCGTTTCGTGGGATGTAGGTGACGTCGCCACGGCATCACGTATGATGGCTTTCTGTGCAGTGAGCGAGCGAGAAAATGAAGGATAGTTGCGGTGTCATCCCACCTGGCTTTGATAGATCCGATTCCTATGGATACTCCGCCTGCCCCTTATTCAATCATCCCTTCGGGAAGTCCGACTGCCCCACTGCCATCCCTTGTCGGGAAGTCCGCTTACTATGTGAAATCCCTGTGGGAAGTCCGCCTGGCCTTCCTAATGCATCGACCTAGCTATGCAGTCAACTAGCCAAATCTGCGCACTTACTTGTGCATGGGTGAGTTGAGGTGAGCATGGGCGTGTTTTGGGTGTTACCCCTTGACGTAATGGGGTGTGCTCGCCTGAGTTGGGCGGGTTTGGTTGCGGTTGGGCGCGCGCGTGTTTGTGTTTTTTTTTTTGGGGGGGGGATGGCGCGCGAGCGGTTTGGCGGATCGGGGCTCGCTGGCGCGAGTGCGGCCTCATATGTGGTGGTGTCGGATCGTCCAGCGGCCTCGCGGGGACACGTGCCCTCGATGGGGGCAGCCCCGTTCTGCGTCGTCTCGGGTTGCGTCCGTTGTTGGATCCCCCTTGTCGCGCCAATTTTGACGTCGACAGAGCTGCGGGCATCTAGCCACTGGCTCTATATATAAAGAGCCTGCGTGGTGGGATGGCACGCGGCGCGTTTTGTCGTGCTAAGCTGGCTCCGCTGCGAACGCCGCGTCGTTGTTGCGTCGTTCCACAGTACCTGGTTCCATCGCCGCCGTCGGGGCCAGACGATAGGCGCAGGTGCGATGACGACGAAGTGTCTTTAGTAAGGGCGCGCTTGTGGCGCGGGAGCATCAGCAAACGCTGGATAGCGCGGGCGCGTGTTCAAAGTTGTGCGCGGCGAAAAACTTTGGTTCACGATTGCGTCTTCAACGCGTTCTCTCGTGGGCGCTGTGGGCGTTTGGGCGGGCAACGCAAAGGGCTGACAACAGGGGTTTGACCTGAAACCCATGTCTCAGCACATTCGACCCCATTAGATCCGGAGGGTAGACACTAACAAACACACTAGCTGAACCAGCTGTTGGTATGCCGGCGATCTCTTGAACATCAAGGATCATGGGCCGATAATGCAGATCAAGTTCAGTCTCTTTCGGCTGTTGCCAAACAAGTACGCAGTGCTTTCAAGAGGTCCAATTGGGCATACTGGGATGCTATTACTGCAAGACGCTGCGAAGCACGGAACAGGCTGCAAAAGACAACGGCGGATATTTGGTTCAGAGGCTGGCGCGACTAATTACTGGACGACGTAGGGGACAACGACAGAGAGTTTGCTTTTCTTCCCGCGTCGACCGCATGCGTTGCAGCCGCCGAGATCAGCATGGGAGACGTTATTTCGGAGGTCGCAAGTGAAGAACGCTAACAGCTCTGAGATGATGAAGCCTCGGAGTCATCAGCGGGCGACTGGAACGGAATGCGTCGCGCAATATGGCGCGACGCCCACTACCAACCGCAGGCGTTGGAGCTGATGTTGGAGAATGCCAGGCCCCCATGGTCATGCAGGGACTTATGAAAGCTATGCTTTTCTTGGCGCGCAAGCGGCAGCGCGCCCCGCTTGCCCGGCGCGCAGCTCAAGGCGCCCGACCCCCCGAAGGCGGCGAATCCATTGAGGTGGCTGGGGACAGGGTCATCCTGCTGATGCGCGCTATCTGGCGCGCCTACCGCGCGGCGGCATTGCGTCGCGAGATGGGCCCGTGGCGGCCTGGGGAGTGGATGCATAGCGGATTAAAGAAGCGACCACGGGAGGCAGCCATGGGTGTTCAGATTATTTCATCTTTTCGACATCAGGCAGCACGAGTTTCCCGCGCGGTATGGTTTCGCGTCCACGTGGGGGTGCATTTCCAGGCGGCGGCGGAGCTACTTTGATATTTGCGGGTGCCTTCAATTTTTTCGAGCAGATGCAGTTGCAGATCTTTACGCACTTGAAAAATGGTTTCGCGCCGCGGGGGTGGGACCTTCATGAAGCGACGGTCTCATGCAGCAGATGGCACTCACTGGATTTGTGGATGGTCTTTCTTGTGCCTTTTTTGATGATGGTCATCCAGGCGCGGTTGTCAAGGGGCTTGAACTTGGCTGCCGCCTGGGGAATTCAGCAGTGGACAGGGGAATGGGGGAGGTGGGGGCTACGCGAAACAAAGCAAACAAGAACCTGGAGCCTCCTCGCGTGGAGATGGAGCACATATTGCAGCACGTATCATACATTAGCTCGTCGCACAGATCGCAGGGCGCACGAGACATCGCGTGCGACCTCGGAGGTCTTCAGGCGAGCAGCTTCGCGCTCAAGCCAGAGCTTGAAAAGCGACTTCGCGCGCTCCAGGCCAGCTATTTCTCCATGGGGAGGCTCCGGGGATCCCCCGGCAACTTTCACTGGGAGGTCCATGGCGCAAGGCTTGCTTGCGAGCGCGGCGTCGAGTGGCTTGGGGGCTTGCGCCGAGGGCTTATTGTGTGAAGCGGGGGCCTGGCCGCGCTTGGAGGATTTATTGCGCGCAAATGTCGCAATCCTGGGAGGCGCGGCGTTCCGGGGTGCAGATGCGCAGCGCGCCAGCACCGCCAGCGGGCGAGAGGTGCTAAACAAGTTCCGATTTGCTCCGATCTTCACATAATTGCAAATCACAAGGTCCCAGATGGTTTCGGGCGATGGTGCAGGATCGGGGCCGACGCAGTCAGTTCTTGTCTACTTGCTTTGGAAAGGCTGCTCTCGATGGAGACGTTTTGTTTTTCCCCCCCGGAGGATGGGTCGTCTCGGCCTCGCGATCATCTTTGGGCCGCTGAGTCCCAGAGTGGCCCAGGGGCTCCGAAGGAGGTGGAGGCGGGGGAGATGATGTCGGAGATGGGAGGGTATCTGCGACGCATATTATTCGAGGACCCGGAGGCATTCGTTGAGGTCGACTGCGATGAGTTCAGAGAGTTAAGTTCTTTATTGCACACTTAGAGCACACGCAATGAATATCGCAAATATGGCAGGCTCATATGCGCAGAAACCATGGAATCTGGCAGCACATGCAATGCAACGTGCTCAACGCAGCACATGCTAACCAAGCGCATCGCTAACGCGATAGGAGGCAGTCACGGACGGTTGCATGTAGGGCGTGGACTAACGACCACAAACATGCGCGTGCCCTGCGACAGCGTGCCCCTTAGCACGGAGACTGCGAAGAAACACGTATCGGCCAGTTTGAGACGACAGCATTGCTTTTGTAGTAGTGGGAGATATGCATGTGAAGGCATAGCTCCCAAGAACATGACGTGCCATTTTTGTGACGAGAGTTTCGGAGTCTAGGATTTGTGGTTCAAGCATCGCCGAGGCCATCTGTAACCGCATCTAGGGCCCTCCTTTTCACGTGCGTGCGTCAGTTAGTCAAGCACGAGATTGTGGATCAGACTCTACGGATTCTACCACGAGGGCGCACATCGCGGGCCAAACTACTTGATCTTGATGGGGTACCTACCCTAAACGCTAGGCGTCATGGGCGAAGAAACAGAAACACCCAAGTCGTGGCTGATTCGGGGCCGCGGCAAGAGCTCTCGGCGGCGGGCAACAATCCCAAGGAGCACATGACGAGGGGGCACGACGACGAGGACGACGAGGAGATGGACGACGCCACCAAATTCATCCTGATGAAGAAACTCATCGCCCAGCTGGAGGCAAGAGCACTACTGCAAGTGCACGAAGCTATGACGACGGCCATTATGGACAGGCAGCATCGAGCAGTAGTGGACGTCAACAAAGCATACGCGGAGTACGCCACGGAACGCAAGCAGGACCCCAGCGTGCATCTTGGCTCTCCAGCGTGCCAGTCACTCTACGCGATTCTGACCGTCTTAGGCAGCTGGCAATATCGGGCGGGGCACTTCGGTGAGGATATCGCGGCTCAAGCTCGCAGCAGTCCGTCTCGCGCGAATGGGGGCGAAGGTCGGACGTGATCTGACAGGACAATGGGTCGGGGAAACAACCGCGTTCCCGCGCTTCGACCAGCCCAACAAGCCTAAGACATCATGCATGTCGTTCAGCTTGGGAGGGTCAACGCGGGTCCCAGACGACGAGGCAGCGGCGGCCGAATTGCTCCAAGCGGTCGAGGAGCCAGACGTCCAGTTACACCAGTTGACGCCGCTGGAGATGCCGACGAGTTTCTACACGCCGAAGGCAATCTCATGGATATCGCGTCGATAGTAGCCGAGTTGATCAGGGCTGCTGGTTGGAAATGGTACATCAAGCAGAGCTCCGAGGGTCAACATGGCACGCAAGCTTGTGAAGAAGTAGAGAGTCCATCGTCTTCGGATATAAGTGGTGGGAGTTCGATGCTAGTCATTTGCTGGAGAGAGGTGACATAGAACGTGGCTGTCGCCATAGCATGCCTCTCCCGCCTCTGGAATCTGTGTTTTTAAAGGTTCCGCGGGCCCCCGAGTGCTCAGCTGGCT